ACAAGAATTTCCTGGAGGGTAGTTTGATGCCAAGTCCTTCAAGCTTTCTCTCAACTCACATAATGTCTCCAACTCCATCGATAGACCTATTTAACAATTTCCTTGACTATTAGGTAAAGGGGGAAAAGAAAAACATTTTCTTTTTGTTTTGTTTTGTTTTGTTTTGTAGGGTAAAGATTAAAGGTTAAAGAGGAGGATTGGTTTTAGTTTTGGTTTGGTGTTGGATCTTTGAAATCGATGAAGAAATGGAAGATGAAGGAGATAGAAGGGGACGAAAGTGAAATTCTAGAGGGTTTGTTTTAGAGCATCTCCAAATGACTCCTTATATAACCCAAACTCTTTATTATAAAGAGTTTGTCTATAAAAACAAGAGTTCAATAGACTCTTTATTCCTTAAATATACATTAAAGAGTGAGTTTAACTCTCTACATCTAGAGAGTCAAATTTCACTCTCTATCCCAATTTTATTTAAAAAATTACAAGTTTCTATGCATTTTATTATTAATTTTCTCTCCTATTAAGTGTCTCTCTTATTTATTAAGTCTAATTTAAAGAGTCCATTGGATTTGAATACAAATTAAGTTCTTTATATTTACAAATTAATGAAAATACTCTTTATTTATATGAAATATGCTCTTTACAATAAAGAGTACCATTGGAGATGCTCTTAGTGGGTTAGAATTTAGATTAGAAGAAAGTGCATGTTAGAGAAATGTTAATGGGTTTGTCTTTTCATATTTTAATTACATATAGCCCCTATTGAGTCGAGCTCGCTGAAGCTCACAAGTGGCTTGGCTCGGCTCGGCTTACACCCCTAGGTGCTCCCCCTAGGTTAAAAGGTCAAGGAACACTCCTATCAATCCTATTCTCTACAAAATTGCTCAACGTTATGATTAAGGACACCATGAGATCGCCCAATGGTTGGATACTCATCCAAAAACTTCACCATATGGTTCTCTCTTACACTCAGTTGTCCGGTTACGTTGATGCCTTCCAATTATTCCTTTTAGCCTACTTGAGCCTCGCCCTATTGTAGGCTATACAATTAATTATGATGAGTTTCGTCTAAAAGGAAACACACAACTTTATTCTAATCCAAGTCCATAACTAATAACCTTAAGGGTACATTTGGGTCAAGGGTATTTGACATTACTCTAGCAATATTATCTTATATTACTTACATTACCATGTTTGGTTGTCAAGTAATAAAAAATTCCAGTAATCTTCCAAAACAAATAGTAATTACTGTTGGTTATATTATGGGTGGTAATCTGAATACCATCATTTTCTTAGGTATTCTAAGATTACTTAGAATCTTAATTTTGTTACAATTTTACCCCTAACTGTTAATTTTTTAACAGTAATGCCTTTGTTCTTAACACAATTTACAAGAATATTCATGGACTATTTTATCTTTATACATAAGATTTTTAGGACATTATTACCCTTGAACTTAAACCAAATTACCCAAGACAGATGGCCGGATTTGGCCACCATCGCTAGCAGCCACTACTGTTCAACGTTGCCGAAATGACGTACGACCAATCTGATATGGCCGTTTTCTATTAGATTTATGGCTGAAAATGACCAGATGACCATGGATCTGGCCATTTCCGACCAGATCGATGGTCGTTAATGGCCATATCGACGCACGACTGGCCATATCTGGCTGGTCATGCATCATTCAGGTCACAGCAGGCTACGATCGTAGGTGGTGGCCAACGGCCAGCAATGGCTTAGGTGGATGAAGGTGTTTTTGTTAAAATTTAAACTTTTATTGTGATTGTGGTGTTTTAGCAAAATCTCAAATGTAGGGATTTAAAAAATCTAAATAATAATAATAATAAATAATAGCAATTCAGTAATCTATATAACATACCCACCAATTTATTCCTCCCAACCAAACATATCAACATAACATACCTACCAATTTATTCCAATCTAACCAAATACATTTAATATAACATTCCTAGTAATCTTCAAGATAATATATCTTCTCATTAATACAACATACTTTGAACCAAACACATCCTAAAGGTTACTTCTTTAAGTGAACACTTTCTATCTTGGGACGAGAAATGATTGTGATCCAAACCTCAAGTGAATTGATATCATTAACTCTTATTCTTAACATTCTCTATAATTTTGGTGTACTTTTTCTCATATCTCTCCAAATCCTAGCATGTTGATCAACTCCTTTACTAACTTGAGCACCGGAGAATTCAAGCCGGCAAACCTCCTTACCGGTTCTCTCTTGATGAACTTTAATTGATCTGCTTACACTTTCAATTATAAATAGTTCGTTAAAGTTTATAATGTATTAATTATGTTCTACTCGTGCGTGGTTTGTGTAATTAGATATATTTAATTGCTTTTAGTTCAACTAAGAGTTATAAAACCACACTTCAAGTAACATTACCAGTTGCCTTTGTTTAATAATTAAGTTGCATAAATTGGATTTAGGTAAGGTGGGAACTTTAATTCTTGATTAATTGATGTTAAATAATTTCCCTAATCTCAAATGTTCATAAGAAACATTTCATAAATAAATAAAATATTAACTGAAACTCAAATTCATATGAGTGATTAGATTAAAATAACATTTTATTTTCAGTATTCATTAAGTTTAACGCACATGAATAACGAGTATGATTAATTTTAGGATAAACTTCTTTACCTAATCCTAACATTAATTTTAGAGTAAACGACTTTTTCCAACCCAAGGTTTGCCTTAATAACATTTTCCCACCCAAAAAGTTTCAAAATACCATTTTCCCACCCAGAGTTTATATTATGACCAATCTGTGGCTTCCGGCATCTTTGCAATCTTATGCCACCACCATTCTTTTTCCCAATCACCAATCACCACTCACCAAAACCCCTCAAACCTTGCTCCCGCCAATCGCCGGCAATTGAACAATTTTGAAAAAAATTTGGGTGCGAAAGTGTCATGAAGGCAAACCTTGGGTGGGAAAAAGTTGTTTACTCTTAATTTTAGGATAAACTAAGTTACCTAATCCTAACATTAGTTAGTCCCTAAATCGAATTTATATATTCTAAATTCTTTTAGATTTTCCTTCGTACCAAAGATTAGACATATCTTAATAAGAATAGGGATGAATTTAAGTTAAATGTGGAAAAGGTGAGGGACGTCCATGTAAGGTGTCATTAGTTCATTGGCAAAATAGTAAAGAAGCCTTACGTGTGAATAATCTGACGACATCAGTCATCATTTTATATCATATAATGTAAATCAATTAAAATAACCAATAAAATTATCGTCAACCTGGCGTCGTTTTAAAACATAAAATATAATATTTTCTTAAATTTAAATGCCAACTTTAAAAATCAAAACATTTGTGAAAGAGAATGAATTAAGAGAGAAAGAATTACAATTAACATTAAAAAATGTACTTTTTTATTATTTTATATCTTAATTATTAATTAGATAAATTAAATATAATGAAAGGTTTTTTATTTGATTTGTATCTAAATTTAAATAATTTATGTTTATTTTAGATGTACATATTGTGATTTGCGAATAATATAATCACATAATCAAATATATTCCTAACATAATAATAATTAAGTATTTTTGTCACATTTTCCATGAATTTTTCATGGCAATGAGCAGTGAGCACTATCCCCCCCTTTCGGTGACTTTAGACCATTTATTTAATCTACTATTTCCTTTTCTGTTTCTTCTAATCTATTGAAGAAATTAGCTAAAAGTTAGAACAAAATTTTACACAATTTTATCTAGCGGGCAATAAAAGCAATTTTTTTACCCTTTCCTCAAACTTCTAAATTCTAATAAGATTTAAGATATAGATTTCAAACATAATCATAATTTTTTTTTTTTTAATCTATAATTTTTTTTTATTTTTTTTATGATTAAGAGTGTTTGGACCAGCTTACGTGCACCTCAACTAATTTCTAGGATCCTAAAACCATCGGCCAAATAAAAGTTTTAATGGTAATCTCTATTAACAACTGAAGAAAAATTCGAACTCATGACTTTTTGGATAATACACTCAGAAGTCTCTATTGAATTACTCGATCATCTAGGAGTTATTTATTTATTATTGTTATTATATGATGAGAGCATGAGAAACATGTCAAAGAACAAGAGACATGAGTGGGGTGGTCCTAGTCCTACAAAAAAGTTGTGGCTCAAATGCGACTTCCAAAGAGTTCATATGTTTTTTGTATTGGCCTCATGTATATACGTATTCTTTAAGATTTCGTCATTAATTAATTACTTTATCTTCTGATTTCCCTTTTTCTTTATTTTATACTATTAAGGTCCATTTAAAAGAAAGAATATTAATTAAAACCCTTTTCAAATTAATGAAGATTGAGGAGTCTTTTTCATATAATGTTTAGATCATTTATTTAAATTTGCAAATCTTTTGGAGAGACTTATTGATGATGAAATTTTAAATTTTAAATATAAATGATGAAATTTTAAATTTTAAATATAAATGATGAAATCGTAATATATATATATATATAACCATAAATGTATTAATTACTTTATAAGAATTCATATTTAAAAGGTTGAAATGCTATAATTAGTAATACTACGGCAATAACCCTCTCTCACAAATTTTTTCTTACAACATTGACGTGACAGTTCGCAATTAATTAGTAGGATCTATGCGAGACTTGTTGTGAACTGATCAATTGTGAGCTGTCACATCAAAGTTGTGAGAGAAAATTTGTGAGAAATAATTGTTGATGTGATATTTTTCAAATCATAATAATGAACGTAAAAAAAATTAAGTAAAAAAATTAAATTATAATATCCTGATCAAAATTTAAATACAATAACACCAACCCACATATTTACTTAAAATTCTTACCGGTGGTAGGTGAGTGGGTGAACTTTTCTTTCCTTATAAATAGCAACACTAGTATCTTTGTTTTCTTACCTCAACTGGCTTCCCATTCTCAACAAAAATTCTCTTTTATTCTTCTTTGTCTATCTCAATCCCAATATGCCGGTTGACAGTGCTCCAGTTTCCGGCCAAACTATTTGTGTCACCGGCGCCGGTGGCTTCATAGCTTCATGGATGGTTAAGCTTCTCCTCGAAAGAGGGTACAATGTTAAAGGAACAGTCCGAAATCCTGGTAATTAATTTCTTAATTTTCATGTATGTGAATTTCTTGTTCAGAAATTGTGTTATTATGTTCATGAGTGCCGTTATGAATATGTATATAGATGATCCGAAGAATGGCCATTTGAGGGAGCTTGAAGGAGCAAAAGAAAGATTGACTTTATGCAAAGCTGATCTTCTTGATTATGAGAGTCTTAAAGATGCCATTAATGGGTGTGATGGAGTTTTCCATTCTGCTTCGCCTGTGACAGATGATCCAGTGAGTTAATTCTTTTTTATTTTCTTACTTGTTTGTTTTTTTCTGTTTGGTTGCCAAGAAAATGAAAAAAAAAAAACACATTGAATATGTAATTAGCCTAAATTGAAAAAAAAAATACATATTAACTTCTTATCATGATTGTTTTTTTTGACAAACGAAACCACTTATTTTCTTGTGGGTTCCACGATACTCTTTTCTCCTATTGCGGTTGGTGAGAACTCTCCATGTTCACCTAAAATTTTATCTCATTCCACTAACTTTACGCCGTCTGTTAAATTTTAATTGCACTATTCTTTTATTTTATGTTGCCATATATATTTTTAGATTATAGTTTGGTTTATAAAGTGGGTTTGGCTTTATGCTTTTCTGATACGGAAATATGATTTGTTTTCTTTAATGATCAAGGAACAAATGGTGGAGCCAGCGGTGATTGGAACTAAGAATGTGATTGTTGCTGCGGCCGAGGCCAAAGTCCGGCGTGTAGTGTTCACATCCTCGATTGGTGCTGTATACATGGACCCCAATCGGAGCCCTGATGTTGTGGTTGATGAGTCTTGCTGGAGCGACCTTGAGTTCTGCAAGAACACCAAGGTATCATTAGTTAGTTTAATATTTAGCATAACAATACGTGAAAATCNCTTATCCTAATCTGATTAATTGGAAATAAAATAAAATAGAGTCCTAATAAAATAGGAAAGTGGTGTTTCCAGCTGTAATTTTCGTGTAGCATGTATGTCTTCAAAACGTGCAATAATAGACTGACTTGCATGACAAGTCAGAACGTCGGCAATACAGGTGCGTCAACTTCAAGCCCGATTACAACCTTGATGCAGAGAGAATCTCTCCAAACTAAAAACATGAAAGTTGTAGATATATTTCTTAAGGTTCCACACCATTTTGAATCATATCAATCGGAGCTCGGATGAGAGAATTATGCCCAGATTACAAAGCAGTGGCGAAACTATCCGAATTCACCTAATTAGCTCCGTTTTGCAATTAACACCTCCATTTGCTTCCTAAATCAAAATAAAGTAATAATGAGTACAATTGGGCAACAATACGTATAAAAGACTAAACATTAAGAGGGTTAAATATGACATTTTTCATTCCCATAAAAAAGCATAAGCTATCACCCTACCTAACTGCATCAATACAACACCAAGTCCTTGCAATGAGGCATCTGTATAAATATCATAATCTACACCCTCTTGAGGTAACACTAAAATGGGAGCTATCGTTAAATTTTTCTTCAAATCTTGAAAACTGTCTTCACAGGCAACTGACCATATAAAAGAAGTTCTCTGTTTGGTAAGAGCTGTCAACGGCTTAGCCAACTGGGCAAACCCTGCTACAAACCGACGGTAGTAACCTACTAATCCCAAGAAACTTCTCACCTCTTTTACTGTCTTTGGCCTTTGCCATTCGAGGATTGCCATCACTTTACTAGGATCTACTGAAATTCCCTCCTTGGAAACAGTATGGCCCAGAAATATCACTTGATCTAGCCAGAATCACACTTCAAAAACTTGGCATACAACTTCTTTTCTCTCAATCGCTGCAGCACAATTCTTAAATGTTCCTCATGCTTTTCTAGCGACTTAGAGTAAACCAGGATGTCGTCTATAAAGACCACTAGGAACTGATCCAAACAATCATGAAACACCCGATTCATTAAGTCCATAAACACTGCTGGGGCATTGGTTAACCCAAAAGGCATCACCACAAACTCATAATGCCCGTATCTTGTCCGAAAGGCAATCTTAGCTAGCTTTGCCACTTTTACCTGATGATAACCCGACCTTAAATCAATCTTTGAAAATACTGAAGCTCCCTTCAACTGATCAAAAAGATCATCTATTCGAGGCAACATGTACTTATTCTTTACTGTCACTTTATTCAACTCTCTATAGTTAATACACATCCGTACTGACCCTTCTTTCTTCTTTACAAAAAGAATTGGAGCTCCCCAGGGGGAATGACTTGGTCGGATAATGCCTTTATCTAAAAGCTCTTGGAGTTGCTTCTTCAATTCCTGAAGCTCAGCTGGGGCCATTCGATAAAGGGCTTTGGAAATCAGTGCTGTCCCTGGTGCTAGTTCAATACTAAACTCTACTTCTCTTTTCGGAGGCAAACCCGGTAACTCTTCCGGAAACACATCTAGAAATTCCCAGACTACTGGCACACTCTGTAACACTGGTTGTGGGACATCTTTACTTTGCACCACATGGGCAATATACCCAGAGCACCCTTTTCTTAGCATCTTTCCAGCCTTCAAGCTACTAATCAACATGCTCAACTGATGACCCTCTCCGAAACTAAACTTATCTCCACTATCGAGATTAAACCTCACTTTCTTCTTCCGACAGTGAATTTCTACTCCATACCTCCCTAGGAAATCCATGCCCAAAATTACATCAAAGTCAGGCATATCAAACACTATTAAGTCAACCGATAACTCTCGGCCATGGATCATTACAGACTCTCTTGACAGCATCTCATGGGTCAACACACTAACCCCATCAGGCAACTCTATCTTAATGGGCTGACCCACTCTAATAGGTTTCAAACCTAATCTTTCTATCATCCCATAAGATATAAATGAATGAGTGCCTCCGGAATCAATTAATGCATAAAGAGGAACAGCATGAAATAACAGCTGACCAGTAACAGCTGACGGACTAGCCTTTGCTTCACCATGCGCCACGGTAAACACCCTGGCGTTAGGACCTCTCGAAGTTTGTGCTACAGATGGAAGAGAAGCTTTACAATCCTTCATCAGATGCCCTGGCTGCCGACATCTATAACAGACATTACGGCCCAACTCTCTCAGGCACTCTCCCGGATGAGTCCTCCCATACTTAGGACATGGGGGAAACTCTACTGTTCTTGGCCGTTTATTCTGCCAATCTTTTCTGTTCTTCCTTGGCTGAAACTTCTTCTTATTATTCCTCACTTCTCTGTTTCTTGTAAATTCAGATCTTCCTCTGTGTGGAGCGGGCAATGCTTCACTTGGTCCTGCTAGGGTGATTTTATTCTTGAAAATTTTTGCCCTCATTGCTCGCCTTAAAGCCTCACTATAGGTTTGAGGGGGATCGGCACCCATCATGATATCACGAGCTATCTCCGGCTTCAACCCGTGAACAAACTTATCTCTTCTCAATCCTGGAGTACTGACTATCCCGGGTGCAAACCTAGCAAGGGAGTTAAATCTCACTGAATACTCTTTCACCGTACTCGACCCCTGCTGTAAACTGATAAACTCTTAGACCTTCTCATGCACTCGGTCTTCCCTTCAAAAAGTCCTCTAAACTCGCCCCAAGGCATCACAGAAACATCATGAGAGTCTTCCTTAATTCCCACCAGATTCAGGCATCACCCCAAAACAAGAAACTGGAGTACCAGATCTTCTCCCGGTCTGTCATGGAAAACATTGCCGTAGTTCGCTCAACGGACCTAAACCATTCTTCTGCTACAAAAAGGTCCGTAGTACCTTTAAACTCTGACGGCTGATGCTAACTTGAGAGCCCATAAATCGGCTCAATCCGATTCTGCCCTATCGGTGGAACCGTCCTTTCTCTTTCTTTTCTAATAGGCGGTATTTGTACAGGGGTTTCCACTCTTCCCGATGCAACTCTCCCTTGACTTTCTAAAACTTGTTGCACAATACCTTGAACTCTAGCTTCATCCAAGGGAAGGGGCGTGGATTCTGGCAGGTTAGAGGTTTCCCCCGTACCAGTTGTCTTCTTACTACTTGCCCGAGTTCTACGCATCTACAAGACAACCACATTTATCAATTCCAAAACACACTTGAGTAAGGAAAGGATAACTTACAACGGTCAGCTAAGGACCGTCATGGCGGCGAGAATGGCACACTGTTAAATCCCAAAATCTTGGCTCTGATACCAAAAATGTAACACCTCTTTTTCTTACTAATATACTCAAACACATACATACATAGTATATGAAATAAGGTTGGGCCCAAAATTTTTCTTTTATTTATAAAACATAATTCTTTACATATACAAAAGTAGTATACACAAATCTTATACACAAGGGACAGTGGTGCATTTTCTCTCCGCTTCGTGACGTCCATTTGACCGCCGCTTACCTATTTCATGCAAAACATGGAAAAACAACGGGGTGAGCACAAAAAGGCTCAGTAAGTAAATCCTCTACTACTTATCCTTGCAACTTGTTCTTGGTTCTTTCCTTACTCTAATCTTACTCTTCTTCATTCTTTCGGTTCTTTTTCTTCTCTTTCTTTGTTTCTAGTTCTCACTGTTCTTTGCTTTCTTTCTAATTCTTTCTATTCTTTCTATTCTTTCTTTCTTTTCTTTCTATTCTTTCTATTCTTACTCACCATGATGAACATCATGGTAATATGCATGAATGCAATGCACTCACAATAATGCATAGAAATGTATTTTCTTTCTTTCTTTTCTATTCTTTTCTTTTCTTACTCAAGCTTTTCTTTTCTTTTCTTTTCTTTTCTTGTATGCTTGAGTTTTCTCATTCTTATTCTTATTCTTATTCTAGCTTATTCTTCCTCATTCTCATTCTTATTCTTATTCTAGCTTATTCTTTCTCATTCTCATTCTTATGCCGATCGGACTCGGTTGATGCGTGGATTTGGAACTCTGGCCATGTGAGTGAGTACAATCCTCATCTACATGCACTCTTACGAACTGTACAAATTCTTTCTTATTCTTAAGCCACTCAATTAAGGTCGCGTGCATGTAGGACTTTCTTCTTGGTACAACCCTCATCCACATACACTCTTACGAATCATACGATTTCTTTCTTCTTCTTATGCCACTCAATTAAGTTGACGTGTATGTGGGACTTTCTTCTTATCACTCACGAGTTCCCCTATCACAACAACCTAATCTTTTCTTTTCTCTAGCACTCTCTTTCTTAAATTCTTTAGTGCTATTTCTTTCTTTCTCTTTATTCTTAGTATTCTTTATTCTTTCTTACTCATGCATATGCAAAGATATACATATGGATGGTATATGCTTATGTTCCTTTCTTTAGTGCAATCATGTAACGCAAATATGCAGTGTTGCACAAAAATAAGTTCTCTACTCATGCATATGCTTCTCTCAAGCATTTCATCGAACAATAAGCATGCATAATCAAACTCTACTTTAACTATAGTTCTATTTCTTTCTTGGACCATCCATATATGGAGTAAAACTCCTCCATAATGATTCTAAACCTGTCAAGGAAAGGCACTTCAAAATTCTCTACTCAAATTCTTCTCAAATTCAGCCAAACTTCCATTGGCCATCCCAACCTTGACTCTACTTCTCATGGCTCAAAACAACCCTTCATCAACCCAACAACTCATCCACAATTACAATCTTAGCAATCAATCTCACCATTATAAGTATATAAATACAAATCAAGTCATATAAATACACATCAAGTCATTTGATTGCTTAAATCTTAACTTGGGTTGGATTTACTTACCTTTTTCTTAAATTCTTCCACAAAAGCTCTCTAACTTGTTGGACTTGCTTCTTCTCTTAATTCCTAGGCATAAACTTAATAAGAACTCAACCCGTACTCAACTTAAATATATACTAGAGCATGAATCCTTGCCTCTTGATGCTTAGGAACAACTCTCTATCAAGATCTAACTAAAAGCCCTCAACAATACTTGGAAGATTGAGTGAAGAGTTGAGAGGAAATGGAGAATGGAAGAGGCGGTGGAATGAGAAAAATGAAAGAGATTTAGAAGACTATCCCTTAATATCTCATAAACTAAGCCTTCCTTCCCATTTTACCCTTCCACTTCCTTGAAAATTCCATCCTTATCCTTTAATTCTTTACACTTTCACCCCCATTCTAAAACATTTTCCATGAAATTTTCTTGCAATTTACTCCCCACTCTGCTTTCTTTTTAGGGGTAGAATGGTCACTTTACCTTTATTGAAAATTTCCTTGAAACTTCACTAGAAAAATCTACCGGTTCTTCGCCCCAGAGAAGTTTCTTTCTTCGCCATGGTGAAGAAATACAGAGCGTGCGACGCTTCTTCTTCGCCGAGGCAAAGTCTGCACTCCCAAAATTCTGCAAGACTTCACCAAAATCAGGGCATCCAGACCATTCTAACAACTTAAATAACATGTCCATTTAACTTAGGCCAATAAATAGAATTTAAAAGCAAATGAACATGAAGATGTACCTTAAAGTGGATGTTACATCACCCAAGCCCAAAGGTAACTCAAAAATCAATTTCATTTTCATTATCAACTCTCACACATCAATCATTCCAAAAACCCATTAATCTCAAAACCCGGATGAGCACATGCACAAACTTCACAAACAAAGAATTGATCTCAAAATTTAAAAAATATAATATAATGTATAGAATCAAATTCCATAGGCTCACTTTTCAAACTACTCTCCACTAATGTAGAATGATCACACTACAATTCTCATTTACTTTCTCTTTTATAAACTCTCTATTTTCTCTTTCTCATAACTCTTTTCTACTAACTCTCTTTTGTAAGTCACGACCTTATCTTACCGGAGGCACGGCCGGGACTCGCTCCCGCTCTCCGTGACTTCTACTCATTCTAGCCAATCGAACTCGGTTATGCATGGATTTGGAACCTTTGGCCATGTGAGAATAACTCTCTCTCTCAGGTACTCTCGGGTATAGCCCTCATCCGCATGTACTCTCACGAGCCACACCACTTCTCTCTCTTATGCTCATGCCGCTCTCTCAATGCGGCATACATGCGGGAATACTCTACCCTCACTCATAGGTTCCCTATCGCACAACCTACTCTATTCTCTTGTTTAGCACTACTTTCTCTTTGTTCTCTAGTGCTCATTCTCTCTTTCTCTCTATTCTTAGAGTAGTTCAAACTCAATTTCTCTACTCTTTCTCAAACTAACACTCATAGTGTAGCTTTTACTCCAAAATCTCTACTTTCTCTCAAGCTATAACTCAATTCACAATTAAGGCATATGGATGGTTTATGCTCAATAATGAAATTAGGAAATGTCAATATGCAATGTAGCAAGAATTAAGGTTCAAAATTCATGCTCATATTTCTCTTAGACATTTCATCAAACAATTCATGTGCATGCAAAATCTCAACTATAATTACTACTCTATTACATTCTCTAGCCATCCAAATTGGGAGAAAACTCCCTCAAATAACTAGAAACCCTATCAAAGAAACACTTCCAAATAGGTTTACAACAAACTCTCTCCAGCTTCATCTATCAACCCAACTCAACATCATAGAAGTTCAACACTTCTCATACCCAACATAATCAATAAGAAATAATTACTAATCTTATCTCATCTCATCTCAACAACATTAAACCTACACAATCTCTACTCAAATGAATTCTTAAACCTCAACTTAAATTGGATTTACTTACCTTGTGCAAAAGTGACTTCTCTAGCACTTTTCCTTTCCCTTGTTGTCTTGTCTTCTCTATACAACTCAAAACAACAACAACAACAATAACCAAATAAGACTTCAATACAACCTTAGCAAAACTCACATCTAAAGCAAGAATACTTACCTTAGGATGCTTTAGATGAAATCTCTACTCAAAATTACTCAAAAGCTCTCTTAAATCCCTTAGAAATCTTGGAATAATTGAAAGCAAAAATTGAAAGAATTGAGAGAATGGATATGGCGGTGGAGAAGAATGAAATGAAGGGTTTATTACACTTAACCCTTTTTAGCTCATGAGAAAATCATCACTTCCCAACTTTGCCCTTGCTCTTTCTTGAAAATTCCATCTATATCCTTTGATTCATTACACTCATACCCCCATACTAACCTATTCTCCATGTAATTTCCTTGCATTTCACTCCCCACTTTTCCTGCTA